TCATACAGGTACACCAGACTATGTCCTAATTCCAGTGAAAAAGGTAGCAATTATACCCTTCATGGCCCATTTTTTTACTGCCCAGCTCCCTACTTATCTACAAGATTCCCACACAGTCTTGGGCAAGTTACTAAGGCTTAGATTTCAGAGGATGTATCATTCCCATTGATTTCAGGCAGGGTCTATCACTGTGGCTACATCTCAACTGCAGCGTGCCAAGCTCATCAGAGTAAGACACAGACAAGCAAGCTCCTTGCATATTCTTTTTTTCTGGGAAAGGAAACCTGGCCACGTGACCTGGAATCATAGGCAGACATGACCCTGATTTGGACAGCTTGTTGAGGCAGAACTCCAGAGCATTCTGCTGAGCAGTGTGACTGCGGCTGATCTGTAAATAGGAGGGTAAACTATGTCTAAACCTAAGTATGCTCCATCCGTGGCGGTGTTTAAGGCCAGGCTGGACAGAGCCTTGGGTGACATGGTTTAGTGGGAGGTGTCCCTGCCCATGGCAGGGGAGTTGGAACTGAATGATCTTAAAGTCCTTTCCAACCCTAACTATTCTATTATTCTATGACCATGTTTTTGCCAGACTTCCCCACAGTCACAGTGGCATGTGACAGACACATTCCTGCAGGTGATTTGACAATACATCTGGCCAATCAGGAGATAAGTAGAATTCACTTGTACATCCCAGATCAAAAAGGAACATGCAGCATGTGGGTGGCTCAACACCAGAGTTAAGAGTATTTTGCTTCCTGCCAGCCAAATCTTCAGAAATACTTTCAGGCTGGGATTATTCTGGGCTTAATTCTATTAGGAACTATTTGACTCCTATTCCAAGTTAGCCAAGGCCAGTGCCAAAAACTGTGACTTCTTAAAATGGCCAGTGAGCCATATGGATCAAATGTCAAACTTATCTTCCAAGCTGCCAGTCCCTCCCAGAACTCACTCACTCACTCACTCACTCACACTTACTCACAGATATGGACTTTGACCATGAGATGACTATTCACTTGGTTCTAGTATTGGACTATCTTTCAAATAGTTGAAACATTACCTGGTCCAACACTTCATAAAGTCCCTGTATTCTGCCTGTTACAGATGGAGTATTTTCTTGAAAGCAGCTGAAAGCAAAAACTCAATCTGAAGACTCAAAACCTGCATGTAATGAATCTTCATGTTCAAACAGAGGACTAGCCTTCAGTCCCACAGTCAAGGTATTGGACTGACACTGAAAAGAGACCAAGAGAATTATTTCATGGCCAGTTAGAGTGTACAACCATGGTCCCTCTACCAACCTCCCAAACATATATTTCCAGCTCTCCCCAGTCTTGCCCTGGTGTCAGAAGTGAAAACTAATACCACTAAAGCCATACAAAAATAATTTCCAGCTGGATCAATGGGATGATCTGACTCACCACATACCCACACAATTGTTAGTATCAACTAAAGAGAGAAGCTGAGAAAGAGTCAGCACAGACAGCTGAGAAAGAGGCACCACGGACATCTCTTCTGGTATTTCAGGCAATCTTGAAATCATGGCTCAAGACTTGTCTCTGACATTCTCAAAGGTGTCCTGGGGAACCCAAGACACATTCCCAGATACGTCCTTCCACATTTCCCTTGATCTCTCTGTGCCTTAGCTTGCCAACTGTACAGCGCTCTCCTCCTCACAGAGACACTTGGAGGGAATGTACACAGGGGCTGACACCCCTTCAGACCACTGCTGCATAAACAGCATCAAACTTTACAACAAACTGAAAAGTACAAATTGAAAAGTACAAACTGATGTCTGAAATTGAAAAACATTTGAATTAAGTGGAGAATATATGGTAGATCATGTACTGTGCTGCCCTATGCTACTGTTATGATGTCAGAGAAAACATAAATTATAGTGGAAGCACAGCTATTGCTCTATGCTGATACCTCATGTGACTTGGCAAACTTGCCTTCACTGGGATCAGAAAGCAAATTTGTTTGTTAAGCTGTAACTTTATATTTTCTCCATTCTCACAGTTTAAAGTAAGCTCTTACTGTATTGCAACTGTTTTTTATATTTGCTGTGCGTTACGTGTGTTCACAGATAAACAAATGTGTGCACCTGCACATCCTCAGGTATGGAAAAGGGCCAAAGACTAAAACTTGCTTATCTGCCTTACAAACAGAACCCACCAAGTCTGGTAAGCAGATATTATCAGGTAGTCTATATTCCACGCTAGTGAATTGGGGCTGTCAGAAAAGCAGAAACTATCTAAAGCAACCAGAAGCTATTTTCATGGCTTTATGCCATGCATAATGATGTTGAGTCTTTCCCGTATTATCTCCTTCACTGTCTCCCTGCTTTTTCTTCAGTTCTTTTCCTAGAATTAGGTTCATTTTACAGTAATAGAAGTATATCCATCTGACTTCTAACTGGGCTGTGTATGCTAAACATTTGCCTGCATTTGTTCCCTAAGGCAGCAGACACATTGAAAAAGCCACACAGAAAATAAAATAAATCACTGCAAAACATCCTCCAGACCATGAAACAAAACAGAGGTCAATAGATCTGTTGAGGTCAAAGACTACATCTGCAACAACAATGCTGAGATCCTGTTGTTAGTACAGGCCACTACACGGATTCCTTTTTTTGACAGAGATAACACAAGTATTGCACAGTTCTGTCTTCTCCACACTCTCCAGAAGATACATTCTCTTTTACTTTCTTTTCTTGAAGGTAGAGGAGATAGTCTAATCAAAATAAAAACAGATGTTTAAGAGAATCCCATAAAAGAAATCCAAATTAACTAAAAGCTTTGTTTGGCATTGAGCAATTGCCCTACTGCCAGCCAGGCTTTGTTATGCCATTAAATCCCTCTGGTCTACTACCACTTTCATTACCATCTGAGAAAGGCGAAGCAGTGGTACTCATGCAGCAACTTGCATAAGCAGTTGTCAGCCAAAGGGAGGCAAAATACCACCTCTAACATACAAAGGGGAAACAGCGCTCACACAGTTCGGCAGGCGAAGGGACCCCTCACGGACACTACCTACAGCTGCCCAGCGCTCGGTACCTCCCTCGGACGATAAACCAGGAAAGCATCAGATTTCTCCTCCAACAACCTACAAAAAGCACTGTCAACCCCAGATGAACCCGTCAGCTCCAGAGCTCACTCTCACTCCCAAAAGCCAGCCTCCTCGGCAAGGATAAAGCAGGTGCTGGGGACAGGCCCCGCAGCCCAGCCACGGCCGGCGGGATGCCCATGGACCCGCTTCCTCCAGCGGCTCAGCGCCCGGCGGGGCAAGCCTGGCTTTCGCTCAGCTCAGCGCCAGGGAGCAATCAGAGTGCGGGAGGAAGGGCCGCCCTCTCCCCGCACGCACCGGCGGCACCCACCTCTGCCTCTCCCCGCTTCAAGCAAGCTCTGCTCGCCGTCGCCTTCCCGTTCGCCGTCCGCCGCGGCGACGGGGACTCACCCGGCCGCCCGGTGGTGCCGCCCCGGAGGAGGGACCGCAGCGCCCGGCGGGGCTGGAAGCAGAGGGCGGTCCCTGCCTGATCCACCTCCCGCCGGGGTAAGGCGGTGGTGAAGAGCGCGGCGGGCAGACGGGAGTACCGTAGCTCCCCGCGGGCCGGTCGGCCCCAGCCTACCGACGGCCGAGGGGGGCGGGCAGCGCCGCCGCCACCACCTCCCCGCGCACCACCGGGGCCGGCAGCCGGTTGGGCCCCGCGCGGCGGCGGTTGGCCGGCGCGGCCTTGCGGCGCTGCAACGCTGAGTCAGCGCGGGAGGCGGTGCGCTGAGGTGATCCGAGGGCGGCGGCCCTGTCGTCCCGAGGGGCCGCGGCGCCTCTGACGGGGCCCCTTCAGGAGCCGGCGGAGCCGTTGCACTGCCCGCCGGTGTGCCTTGGCCGGCGGGGAGGTCTGGCAGCTCGGGATGGTCTGTTTGTTTATTTAAACCATTACTTCACGCTTGAAATGATGATCACAGAAGGCATTTTTATCAGCTTATTTAGTCCATGTCGAAGGCGTCTTCACTCAGGTTTGTAGATGGGACAACCAGAGTAGCGAAGGGAATTGTTCAGCCCAGACTCCTGGGTGAGGTCCTTGGGAAGCACCAACAGAAGCTGGGGTTCTTCCAACCACAGCACTCACAGCCACAGGAGCCACTTCCTTTGCTATATGTATAGACGTGAATTAAAGCAATGTTTAAATTTAAATCTGTTTTTCCACCAGATAGTGGTTCCCTTCCATTTAATCATACTGTAACCTTTTGCACTGAGCACCTTACACAGCTCAATAAGGAAGTGGATGTCTGTGATAAAAATTGATAAATCTTCCAGGCTTTTCCAAGTCTGTTTACAGAAGATGGGCGAAGATGGTGTGAAATGCAAAACAAAGGAGCAGGAAACAGAGTAACACTTCAAGAGGACAAAGAACATTCACAAAAAAGGATCTAAGTTCATTATCTGACGAAGAGCCTGCTAATTGTGGGCTTAAAAACAAGTTTTTCAGAGCTGGACTTCATGCATGTACACATTCCAGTTCCTAAAAGGTATAGGTAGCTGAAACCTGGGAAGAGTTCCTTGAGCAATTAGCACTTAAGCCTTCTGTTTTCAGTTAACTTTCCAGTTACATTGTAAAGCAATCTCTCTTGTTAGACTATTCATTAGGGACTGTAGTTAACAGACAAGGGGTAACAGGTTAAAACTTAAACAGGGGAAGTTCAGATTGGATATAAGGAAGAAATTATTTTCCTGAGGCACTGGAATGGGTTGCCCAGGGAAGCTGTGAATGCTCCATCCCTGGCGGTGTTCAAGGGCAGGTTGGACAGAGCCTTGGGTGACATAGTTTAGCGTGAGGTGTCCCTGCCCATGGCAGGGGGGTTGGAACTAGATGACCTTAAGGTCCTTTCCAACCCTAACAATTCTATGATTCTAATCTCAGTGCAGTCACCTCTAGGTCATCATTCAGTTGTAATTCTTCAAAGTATTTTTTCTCTGACACGTTTGCTCCTGTAGGACTCCATGTTTGCTCATCTTTGTACAACACACAACTACGACAGCACTGCTGGGTGATGGCCCTTGGTGCTCACATACTCGAATCCCTGCTTCATGTTCTCCTTCATCCCCAGTTACACCAATACACTAATGAGTTCACCTCAGTTTTAGAACAGAAGAGTCAGTGAAAACAGTTTCTGCTTGGGCTCAACAAACAAGATGTTTACTTAATTCCAAGGAGAAAACAATATGCAACTGAGCTCAGAAGTATCTGCAGTTTCATTTCTCAGGCATATCCCTAATCCCTTGCCGGTGGGCAGTCAGTAGGCGATGAGACGTGCTGGTAAATAACCCCATCCCTGGTGTAAATACTGGCTGTGTCTGTGCTGGCTGTGGATCCTGACCAGTGCTTTGCCTGCCATATTCATGTGGAAAGGTATCCTGTATTGTGTTCCCTCCAAGGGGGTGGTATTCTTCAGCCATCACCATCCAGGACTGCTCTAACCTGTTGTCCCACTATGGTCTTTCACTACTATACTAGAAAAAAAACATGATTGTAAAATACTGAATCAAAACCACTGTCTTTCCACAGCCTCAGCCACGCTTTCCCTTCTCTGCTTCCAGATATCCAGAAGCTAGAGCCTCAGCTTTGAAGTGCAGTATTGTGTTATTTATCATGTCCAACCATCTGCTGATTGATATAGAATAACCCACAGCATAATGCTCTACATATTTAATTGTTCCATGTGCAAGGTCATGCTTTTTTAAGGAGCAACATAAATACTGCTGTGATACACACAGGATCTTGTGGAAAGTGCCAAATGCACTTTCAGTTTACAGCAGCAGTAAGCTTTCGTTAACAGCAGGACACCTTCATCCTTCTGTGCTTTTGCACTCTGTTCTTATTGATGGTGTGACCATGATGCAGGACAGTTGTGGTTTACCCAGCTGGTAACGCAGAACCACACAGCCATTTGCTCACTCTCCTTCTCCCCTCCTCCGGGCAGAATGGGGAGGAGAATTGAAAGAATGTAAACTCTACAGGTTGAGATAAGAGCAGTCCAGTAATTAAAGTATAATAATAATAATCATAATGGAAATAGCAAGGGGAGAGAATATAAAACTAAAAAGGGAAAGAAAAAAATAAACTCAAATGATGCACAATACAATTGCTCACCACCCGCTGACCAATACCCAACTGGACTCAAGCAGTGAGCTGCCCTTCTGGGTTACTCCCTCCCAGTTTATATGCTGGGCATGACGTATTGTAGTATGGAATACCCCTTTGGCTAGTTTGCATCAGGTGTCCTGTCTCTGCTTCCTCCCAGTTTCTTGTGTCCCTCCTCACTGGTGGAGCGTGAGACTGAAAAGTCCTTGATCAGGGTAAGCATCACTTAGGAAGAACTAAAACATTGGTGAGTTATCAGCATTGTTCTCAGACTAAAGCTGGAACACAGCACTTCACCAGCTACAAGGAAGGAGAAAAATAACTGTTACAGCTGAACCTAGGACAGCAGATTCTTCTCTGGAACAACCTGTGCCAACTGATTCTGAAATCCTTGCTTGTGTTGTACTCCAGCTCATAGCTATTCTCACCAGTTAAATCTCTAGAAAGGACCAAGCACTAGCACGTCTTCCATACCATCCATGCCTTAGCATGGTCATGGCTGTGGTTTTAGCTCAGCCCAGTGCAGAGTTTGGTGAATACTATGGTCAGGAACAGTTCCTAAAAAGTAATTGGAATTACCAAAAATCCTAAATGGCTGAGGGAGTACAGTCAGGAGGCATGCTGTGCCCTTGCAAAAGAACCGTCCCTGGCAGTATCATTCCAAAACAAACTCAGGAATAATGAAGTTCTAAATTATTATCATTTTGTTTCTGTAACATTTCCACCTTAACAGGTTTATTTCTGGAGGTGTTGCATTGAGCAACATGTTTGTTTCCCAAGGTTTGAATTAAAACTGTCCACAGACTTTCGAAGGACCCACTCATGAAAGTTTTAATTTCCAGTACTTTGCTGGATTGTTTATACCCATCCATTATTGCCTAACTCTTGATTCCTGTCCCAAAGAGCCTATAGTTTACGTATTCACTCTGTTTGTAAGGTTCTGGCACAGTGCAGTTCTAGCCTATGATCTGGGCTCATAGTTAATATGAAAATGCAAGTCAGAAGAAAGTTGAGCTATGTAGTCTTCTGTGAATTAATAAAATCAGGTTTAAAAAAGAAAATCTACAAGCACAGAAAAGTTTAGTAAAACTCAAGAACAGATTCCTAGAGAGCATTGCATAAGTTCATGCAGGGAAAGAAAAAGGCTTTTCATTCTAGCTTGGGACACTAGATTTTCCTGGAATGTATGTACCAGTGAGCAAAATAACCACTTACTTAAACAAAAAAAATTAATAATTTAATACATTATCAGTAGTGTCTGTCATTTTCCCCACTAAAACTGGAATTCATGTTCAGGAGCATAGTACCTGGGTTATAAATGCATGCAACTGGTAACACATGTACACTGTGCATGTAATGATGATTCAGTAAATAGAAAAGTTGAGCTTTTAGCCTTTAATTTATGATGAACTCATAAGCAAAGATGGCTCTGGAGTCTGGTGTTGACATCCTCTATATTAGCATTAAACTCAGATTAGCTCAGACAATATACATCAAGAGTTGATCTAGTTTTATTCCAGTGTAAACATCAGAAAGTACTTGGACGCTGTATGGTCACCTAATTAACTGTTCCACCCTCTTAACAAAGGAATAGTTCTCCTAATATAAATAGGTAATTTTATACAGTACCTACAGTTGCTTGTGATAATCTACTGAATTCTCTGTCCAGTTCACATTATTTTTTCCTTTTTCTTTTCCCTTTTTTCATTTTGCCCTTCATTTGAAGGCACAAGAGTGCTGGTTATTGCAGCATGTAAATCCTGGAATTTAATCTGCCTCTTAGTGCTTAATTTGAGAACTTTTTTTCTTAGAAGTGTATGTAGATGGTATTTAGCTACAGAGATTTGTAAAATGTTTGGCTACCCTTGACTTCAACTTGTTATTTTGATCTGTCCTGCTGGGTTTGCTTTATCTCTATTGCCAGGATTGACTGTCCCTGCTGTTTCCGTGTCAGGTGCTTGAAGATCTGAGCAGTAAACAACTTCCTTTGAAAAGAGAAAGAATGCCACCCTTGTCCAATATAAAGCCATATAAGACAGACTTTATATGAAATCATCTTGCTTTTTGGCAGTGTATTCAATCTGCAACATTCAGGCAGATGCTTCTGGCTTGAACCAGCTGTCAAGTCTGCTCTGCCTGAGCTCCTCACACTTTGCCAACTTCAGCTTTTGGATTTTGCTTTCCACATGGTCACATTTCCCAATGTCATCAGAAGTACTATAAAGTTTAACTCATTAATGATGCAGGGGAGTGACAGATGAAAAGGGAAACTGAGATGATTATTGTGTCAAATGATCAAATGCAGGATTGTAATTTTCCAGGAACTCTTATAGCTGGAGTTAAAGGCAGAGCAGGAGACACCCATCATGTACCAAAACACTCACCTGTGACGATATCACCCTTATCAGTTTTCATGCCATCAGGGCTTGCATTGCATAACCAAACTTGATTTTGAACCAGGTACTTTTGGACTTGGTTGTGTGACAGACACATTGTTCCCCCCCATCATTAAAATACAATCCCCAAAAGAGGATTTGTAGCTGACAGACTACCCGACAAGTGGCTGTCTCTTTTTTCCTTCTCGGAATATAACCAGTCTTGATGATGAAGGTTCTCAACCTTTCTTTTTCCTCTAAATCCATATCCAGGCTTGCAAAACCATGAAAACCTCAATGCTTCCTTTATATCCTAGCAGCTCTTTCCAGAGTCAAAACTCAGTTCTCTGCTACAAAATAGTTACTGAGAAACAGAGGCATCTGTTGACTCCTATGAGTAAAACATGGCCAAAGCAAGAGTGTAGGAATATTTAAGTTACAAACAAGAGAGGCTAAATATATAAACCCAGCTGGAGGCCCAGTTGTACCAGTCCAATCTCATCAGAATGTAATTTAACTCCAAATCTGTAAATAACCAAGGCTGAGCTCCCTAAATATAATCTTAGAAAGCTTAGAAAACCTTGAGACCTGATAAAGCGACAACCACAGTGTATGAGATTAAGGATATAACAGTGAAATCATTACCATGTTCTTTCTTTGGCCAAAAGCCAGAATTCCTGTGTAGGCATCTTCACACACAGACCTGTACTCTGCTCAGGCAAAATAGATGGTGGTGTTTAAAATGCACACACATACAAGAAATGAGATACCATACGCAACTCCGTAGGAAACCCCTCAGTGCTGTTTTGGACTGAAATGCTTTCCAGCACAAAAGCTAGCTTTTAATCTGTCCAGTAAATCTATGCATTTGCCCAGAACACTGTTTTCACAGCACAGCAAATCAAAAGCACGATCATCAGTATTATTTGTTTAGAACAAAATAGTGCAAAACACGCTTTGAGAACTTCAAAGCTGTTCTACTTCCAAGGGTATAATCTTTTCTTTACTGCCTTGCAGCTCTTGAAAACTAAATCCTGAAGTGGAACATAAATTTGGAAACCAGCTCCTTCTGCTGAGAAGATTGTTGCTTTCCTCTCAGCCTCATGTCTGCAATTTCTGCATCAGACTGCCTACCAAGATTGAATTACCTTTGCAAACAGGTTCTGAAGGCTATTGCTTGGGGATTATAAAGTGGCATATCTTGATTAGCCCACTGTATTGTTACCTCTTTACTATGCAAACTAGTACCTCTTTCTTGTAGGTAACAACGATACAATAGCTATAGCAAAGTTAAGATAATAGTGAGATAAAGAGATATTTTGTGTAAAGCTTTTCCTTATGGTAAACTACGCATGAAATGCTAATAGAGCTCAGCTTGAAGTTTATTCTGTAACTCCACTGTGAGCGTGAAGTGTCCAAAATCAGTTTTATAATAAAATTAACAATATTTGGGGCTTCTCACTGTGACAGAAAAAATTGTTACTTGTGTGCAGACCATAGTATTGAAGTGGTTGTTCTGTGTGTGGATCCTGGTGAATGAAGGGGCGCTCTGTCTCTTGCTTATACTTACAAGAAGCAACAAGTTTACTTGGCTTTGAAGTCAGAAGATTCTGCACTATCTCAGGTACTGCCATTAATTCAGGATGTCATATAAACTGGATGAGAGGAGGGCATGTGTAAGCTTTGCCTGAAACTTTCCTTCTTCAGCCCTATCTTATTTGTTTTGCTGGGGAAAAAAAAAGAAAGCCAACCACTTGGTACTCTTTGGGTTGTTAGTTTGTTTTTTTCCACTCTCACTAAGACTCAGCATTTTGGAATATTCAAAGTGGTAGAATGTAACTAGGTTAGGGCATTTTTTGAAATGTCTCTCTGTATGATGGAAAAGGGCACTTTTTCACTTTTCCCAATGCAGCAGGTGTGGATCCTGTGCCTCCACTTAAACGGTGCCCTCTTTCCCTCCTTTCTGTAATGGCGAGGCAGGTGTAAGGGTGCAAGAGCTTTGTCTGTTCAAGAGCTTTGGCGCTCAGGTCTTCCCGCACTGTGGTGTTATTCCTTCTTGTGTGCTGAGCTGTAAGGACACCATAACCTGGCAGCATGTATTTCAGATCTCTCTGATCTTCAACCTCTAGATTCAGTATCGGGTGATTCAGGGAGAGAGATGAGATACTGTGGCAGGATGACCTTTCTGAGAGGCATTTCCTTTGCAATTTCATTATTGGGGATTTTAGTGATGGCAGCTTATACCAAGGACTGTGCGTTTTTTTGAGTTACAGTCATCCTTTGAATGCTTGTGGTAATAATTTCTTCAGCAAAAATTTGAGCTACATGGAACAATGATGATATTTTAAAAAACATTAAAAATATATTTGGCTTAAATTTATATTAAAAAATAAATTATATTTTAAAACATATTTGGCTTAAGCAAATGATCTTTTCAGTCTTGCTTGCTATCAGAGCTGACTTAATCTTACTGTTGTGGGCTGATTTGTTCTCAGAAATGCATTGTTACTTATAAAGTTCCTGATCAAGATTGTGTCAAAATGTTAGAAATGAGCTGAGGCAGAGAATTAGATCCTGCACATGCATTTACAGGACATTAAATTCTCTAATTACGTACATCAAGCCTGGGCAATTAATCAGTAAATAAGGTTGTTTACTGTAGTCTTTCTCTTATCTAAGCAGTTCATTTCCTGGGTTTATGCCAAGATATAAAACTCTCACTGGTTCCTCTCAGTCAGGTATGTTAAAGCAGGAACATTGTCATTTATTTCAGCTTTGTACTCACTATTTTTTTCTACATATTCTGTGAGGATATGCATACCCATGTGACATTATCTGAGGAACTGGCTTCATTTTTATTATTTCGACATCCAGAGTGTTAATATAGTTAATACATGTGATTGGCGTTACAAACTCATGAAAATAGTACTTTATATCAGTTTCATGTTCAAAATTCCATGAGTAGGAGAAGTGTCCCTTTTAACTCAGTAGTAAATCCTTCCCTCAAAATATTCTTAGTATCGAAATTAGTGTAGTCTCTGAAGAAGTGTTATAGCACTACAATCCCTGATCATAGTGATGAATGTTATTTTAGACCTTCAGCCAAACAGCATTTCAACTCCATCAATCTAAAATAATTATTTGGAAAACTTAACGTAGGCTTGCTGTGACAGTGTGTATCAGCCAATCTGGGGTTAGAAAATGAAGTATATAATAGGGAACTAGAGCCTGTGGATTGACAGGAAGGATTGCCTTTTTCTGATTTTTTTGCTGTTGTGCTGAAAGCTGAACAAAATTTAGCATTTCATCCTAATGGACAGCATCAGGATTCAAATATTAATATCTGAATTTCATGAAATTATATTTCATGATTCTGAAGTATAAGAGTCGTGAAGAATAAAATGCACAAAAGATTTTGCAGGTGATACTTGTATGAAAAGGGTCTTATTGTGGCTATGTAATCTGACTGGAAATGATTATGTATTTGAATGGCAATTGGGAGGCAATGATCCATTATAAGGGAATCTAATTCAGTGTTGAACAGAGAAAGTTTAAACAATTATAGTTAGTCCAGTATAAAAATATTGTAAATGAATGTGTAATGAATTCTGACTGCGCTATGCGTCATTCTCTAGATCTTGCCCTTATATAAAACCCTGTGAGCGTTAACTCTGTGTCCATGTATTTCTGTTCACAATTTGAAAGAAGCTTCTTACAAGCACATACACATACATATGTAAACTTTTTCAAAAAATTGGAAGTTTCAGAGTTATTTTGAGAAGCTGGCACTCAAGAAGTAGCACACTGTGGAAATCATTTATCCCTGTTCCATAAATTTGGCAGAAGTAGTCCTTAAAACAAACATTTCTGGGTAGAAAGCCTTTGTCCTGGTGCTCTGTATGCATTACATATCCCCTTATGCAAATAATCTGAGAATTCATCAGAGACTCATTCGTGCTACCCTTGTTACAGTTTACTGTGCAGTTTATCTACTGCAGACAAATCTAGATACCAAGAGCAGTCTCTCAAACTTCGCAGCTTCTACCAACAACAGCAACATGAGCTTGTTATACTATTATTCGCATGTCAGTGACATTGTGTTCAGCATATCATGCACAAAGAGAATTCCCATCCTAGTGAGCTTAGAGTCTGAAAAGTATCAGGCCTGATGCTCACTTCACACAAAGCAACGTAATCCCGTTCAAGCGAGTGAGCTCTGCATTACACAAGCAAAGGGTCTTGCTCATTGTTTCAAACAGGTGGAATTTGTTTTTAAAAAGCAAGACTAGGCACAGGCAAGCAGCTAGTACCTTATATCAAGCTGTGCTATAGTACAAGAAGAGACAAAGGCCTGGTCAGAAAATACAGAAAACAATTCCAGTTAACAGAATAAAAAACAGTCATACCCACTCAGAGTTCAGGTAGCTCAGAGTCATGTCAAGGTACATGTCTGCTTCTGATTGGAACTCTTCAGACACCCTGTTTTTCCCCTGCTCACCCCCACACTGCAATTTGGGCACAAACAAAGAAGCCTCCCTGTGTAGTCATCCCGGTGATACCAGCTGCCCCTCCCCAGCAGCCTGAGGTGATGGTCCAGCTCATTCACCCTGCATGTTTTGCCTATTGATTGCATGGGGTTGGGATCAGGCTTATTGCTCATCAGCCTTGTCCGGGTCAGATGTAATTTGTTCAGTTTCCTATGGAAGATTCAGTTTGATAGGGTTTTCTCATTTTCTGTTTCATACTGCTGCATACCTGCACAGACATAGGCACAGAAAGTGCAAACACATCCCTTGTCTGCAATATCTTTGGGACTTTTTTATTGCTAGTGATTTGCTAATTTTCCATTATCTGTCTTCTGTGCAGCACATTTTAAATACAGCACATCCACATTACAAAATTCTTCCTCCTCCTCTTCTTCATGTGTTTCTGTACTACATTATGAGAAATCTAGGACAAACAATGTAACAATACATAAAAGTG